CCCCCCGCGGCTGTGTCCCTTATCGCACCCCACTCGGGCTGGTCGAGACCCACGGGCACGCAAAGGGTCGGTGCCCACCCCGGGCAGGACCCCTGTGCCCCCCTCCCCTGAGCCCAGCGCTGGAGAGGACAGAGAATCTGAGACCCTGAACCCGATGCCGTGTGTGCTGCCGGGGGGATGGGGGCACCCAGCTGTCGGGCTGTGCCCCACCCCCTCCCCCCAAATGGGCTGTTTGCCACTGCCCCCACCCCACTACCCACCACCCACCTACCCACCATTTTAGATTTAACTCCCCCGTCTCCCACCCTTCCCCCTCTGGGTGCCTATTTTCCAGCCAGAGCTGCCCCGAGCCCCCCTGCCATGCTGGAATGCCCCCACAATACCCCACCATCAAGGATGGCACAGAAACGTGGGATTTCCCCTATATTTTGGTGAACAGATGGTTCTGCCCTGAGGAAATCTGGAAGGGGCTGAGCCAACCGAACACACAGGACATGAGTGTGTCAGGTCTCAGTCCTGCCCCCGACCCCACTGAGCACAGTTAGGACATTTCCCCACAGGCAGCTCAGCTCTCCCTCCCACGCCAACACTAGCTGGCCTCCCTGTTTCACTCCTGGCCCTGGGAAGGGTTGCCCAGCTTGTCCAAACTCCTGCCTCAGCTCTATTTTTAGCCTTCCGTCCTTATTTAGCAGCGAGGCGGGTGGGGAGCGTGCAAGGCAGGGCAGGGGAGCAGGCAGGACACAGGAGCAGGGCCCTGATGGATCTGCTGCCCACCCCGGCAGCGACAACTGCGTCGCTGATCCCCCGTGGAGGCTCAAGGGTGAGGAATAAATAGCCCTGTCCCTCCCGCCCAGCAGTGGGGTAGAAAGTTATCCCCTGGGATTAGTTTTCACTTGGAGGCTTTGGACCAGCCGAAGCGTGAGGATGGGGATGCATGGGGAAAGGCTGGAGCATCATGTCTGGGGGCAGAACAGGAGCAGAGCCCCTCACCTCAAGCCTCCAGTGCCACGTGCTTTCCTGCTGCTCACAACCAGTGTGGGTGAAGGTTTCACTCTCCCATTCCCGTCCTTCCCCCCTCCATTTCACCATAGGAAAAAAAAAAAAAAGAATAAAGGGCTGTAAGGACAGGTTAATCCACATCTTTTTGCTTGGAGAAACACAGGTAGGGGCAGAAATGTCTTGAAATCGCTGCTCTGCCTCAAGACAGACACACATGTGACCTAAATCCCTACCAAAGGTGTCTGCAACCTTTTTCTGAGCTCCAACACTTGCGAGATCCTCTGCAGTTCAAAGTTTTCTGAGCTATCTCAGCCATGCAAAGGTCGAGATCTCAGCAGATCAGGCTGAACATTTTCAATTTGCATTGAAGACGAGCAGCCGGCAAGATGGGTGACAGCAGGACTGACATTGTCAGCTCTTGTTTACAGCAACAAACAGATCATAAACGATGTGTGGGACAGGGGGGTGCAACTACAGACCAACCTCTCTCCACTGCACATGCCACCAGCTCTCCCAGGACCTGCTGGGCATTGCCACAGGTCAGTGCATCACCCAAAAACCTTCCAGCAAAATCTTCTCTCCCCACCCCCTTTTTTTGTTGTTGTTGTTCCAGCCTGGGTTTCTGAAAAAATAAACCAATAAATTAAATATCAATGACTCCATCTCACGGGACCACCCTGCACACAGACCATGCAAGGCCAGGTCCCAGATGGAAATCCCACAAACACTGCCTTGCACCCACCCCGTCCTGCCCAGTCCTTACCAGCTGGAGCTGGAGAGAGTCAGAGACATTTTAACAGCTTGCATAAATACTTCTCTTATCCATAAGCTTTGGCAAACACTTTAAATGACCATTGGTACAAATTAACTCCACGTTCAAGCCAGCTGTTATCCCATTTACAGCAATTCAGCTGAGCAGGAGATAAACCCTCCTAGACCCGTTTTTCCAGGAAAAAGCCTTGAGACTTCTCCAGGCGCCATTGTTCTTGAGGAGAGCGAATGATAATGCTGAAAAAGACATCAGGGCAGACTTCAAAAGAAGCTGAAGCTGCCCCAGGTGGGTCTGCCACACACCACCTCCTCGTTGCTGTCTTTGCTTGGGCAGAAATCTGGCTGCCACTGTCCCTGTCATCTCAAGCCCCCTGCAAGCAGCCTCCAGCAGCCCCAGCACCATGTGCTCCCTGAGTCCACAGGCTCCCCTGGGTAGGGAGAGGGGATGA